TCCCTCCTCTCCATTCCCTGACCAGCCCCCCTGGGACCCCTCGCTCCATCCAACCACCCCTTCTCCCTGACCACCCCCAGAACCCCTGCCCCCATTCAACCCCCCTTGTTCCCTGCCCTCTGACTGCCCCCACATCTATCCACACCCCAGGCCCCTGACCACCCCAAACTCCCCTACCCTCTATCCAACCCTGCTCCCCTGCTCCCTGCCTGCTTACCACGATGCCTGGAGCACTGGTGGCTGTCTGGAGCCAGCCACACTCCGCGCAGCACAGAGCACCAGATCAGGCCGGGCTCTGCAGCTGCGCTACCCTGGGAGCTCGCAGCCCCACTGCCCAGAGCATTGTGCCCCGCGGCGCAGTGAACTGAGGCTGCGGGGGAGGGAGGACAGTGGGGGAGGGGCCAGGGGCTAGCCTCCCGGGCCAGGAGCTCAGGGGCCGGGCAGAACGGTCCCGCGGGCCGGATGTGCCCGTGGTCCATAGTTTGCCCACCTCTGGGATAGAGGGTAGCTGGAATTTTGTTTCTCCCCCATGGTTAGATTTAAATGAGGTTCCCCTTTAATATTCATATTCTAATATATTTTGTTTATAAAAAAGACTTACTATTTTAGGGTATTCTGCAAAGAAGAATGTTCTGGTGTAGATTTATTTTCAGTCAATACCTCTGTGGTGAAGACAGTGATTTTACGCCAAAGGAGTATCTCAATTGCCAGTGTGCTGTAATCCATTCACTTAATGGGAATCAGGAATATTTATTTCATAAAATAGAAAGTGTGGTTTTGGCAGAATTTAGACTTTAGATATAAATTCTTTTGAAAATAGTACCATAAATGACTTAGGAGCCCAAGTCCCATTTTCAAAAGTGACTTAGAACCTGACTTAGGACCAGATTTTTAAAGGTATTTAGGCATTGCTCTCTCAACACAGCTGATTTAGGAGTCAAAGTCTCATTGAAAGTCAATGGGACTTAGGAACCTAAGTCACTTTTGAAAATGAAATGAAATGAAAACAGTCAGA